AATAACAGACAAGTTTGGCCTTGGAAAGCAAAATGAAGCAGGGCAAAGGTTAACAGAGTTTTGTCAAGAGAACACACTGGTCATAGCGAACACCCTTTTCCAACAACCTAAGAGGCGACTCTACACATGGACATCACCAGATGGGCAACACCGAAATCAGATTGACTATATAATTTGCAGTCAAAGATGGAGAAGCTCTATCCAGTCAGTAAAAACAAGACCTGGAGCTGACTGTGGTTCAGATCATGAGCTACTCATTGCAAAATTCAGACTTAAACTGAAGAAAATCGGGAAAACCATGAGGCCATTCAGGTTTGACCTAGATCACATCCCTGATGAATATACAGTAGAGGTGAAGAATAGATTCAAGGGTCTGGATTTGATAGATAGAGTGCCTGAAGAACTATGGACAGAGGTTCGTGACATCGTACAGGAGGCAGCAATCACCACCATACCAAAGAAAAAGAAATGCAAGAAAGCAAAATGGCTTTCTGATGAGGCTTTACAAATAGCAGAGGAAAGAAGGAAAGCGAAAGGCAAAGGCGAAAAGGAAAGATTTACCCAACTGAACGCAGATTTCCAGAGAACAGCAAGGAGAGATAAGGAGGCCTTCCTGAATGAACAGTGCAAAGTAATAGAAGAAAACAATAGAATGGGAAGGACTAGAGATCTCTTCAAGAAAATTGGAGAAATCAAGGGAGCGTTCCATGCAAAGCTGGCCATGATAAAGGACAAAAACGGTAGGGACCTAACAGAAGCAGAAGAGATTAGGAAAAGATGGCAAGAATACACAGAAGAACTATACAAGAAAGACCTCAATGTCCTTGACAAACACGACGGTATAATCACTGACCTTGAGCCAGACATCCTGGAATGTGAAGTTAAATGGGCCTTAGAAAGCATTGCTAACAACAAAGCTAGTGGAGGTGATGGTATTCCAGCTGAGCTATTCAAAGTCTTAGAAGATGATGCTGTTAAAGTGCTGCACTCCATTTGCCAGCAAATTTGGAAAACGCAACAGTGGCCACAGGATTGGAAAAGATCAGTATACATTCCAATCCCAAAGAAGGGCAACGCCAAGGAATGTTCAAACTATCGCACAATTGCACTCATATCACACGCTAGCAAGGTCATGCTCAAGATCCTACAAGCTAGGCTTCAACAGTACGTGGATAGAGAACTACCAGAAGTACAAGCTGGGTTTCGAAGAGGTAGAGGAACGAGAGATCATATTGCCAACATTCGCTGGATTATGGAGAAAGCAAGAGAGTACCAGAAAAATATCTACTTCTGCTTCATTGACTATGCTAAAGCCTTTGACTGTGTGGATCACAACAAACTATGGCAGGTCCTTAAAGAGATGGGAGTACCAGACCACCTCACATGTCTCTTGAGAAACCTGTATAAGGGCCAAGAAGCGACAGTTAGAACCGGATACGGAACAACTGATTGGTTCAGCATAGGAAAAGGAGTACGACAAGGATGTATACTGTCACCTTGCTTATTTAATATATATGCAGAGTACATCATGCGAAATGCTGGCCTGGATGAATCACAAGCGGGAATTAAGATTGCTGGGGAAAAGATCAACAACCTCAGATATGCAGATGATACCACTCTAATGGCTGAAAGTGAAAAGGATCTAAAGAGCCTCTTGCTCAGAGTAAAAGAGGAGAGCGCAAAAGTGGGCTTGAAGCTCAACATCAAAAAAACTAAGATCATGGCATCCGGCCCCATCACTCCTTGGCAAATAGAAGGGGAAGTCGTGGAAGTAGTGACAGACTTCACGTTCCTGGGATCCCAGATCACCGCAGACTGTGACTGCAGCCATGAAATTAAAAGACGCCTGCTCCTTGGGAGGAAAGCGATGGCGAACCTAAACAGCATGATAAAAAGTAGAGACATCACCCTGCCAACAAAAGTCCGCATGGTCAAAGCAATGGTATTCCCAGTAGTAATGTATGGCTGCGAGAGTTGGACCATAAGGAACTTGGCTGAGCGCCGAAGAATAGATTCTTTTGAACTATGGTGCTAGAGAAGACTCTTGAGAGCCCCTTGGACTGCAAGAAGATCAATCCTAAAAGAAATCAACCCTGACTGTTCCCTGGAAGGCCAGATAATGAAACTGAAGCTCAAATACTTTAGCCACCAAATGAGAAGGGAGCACTCACTGGAGAAGACCCTGATGCTGGGAAAGATTGAAGGTCAAAGAAGATGGGGACGGCAAAGGATGAGATGGTTAGACAGTGTCATAGATGCAACGAACATGAAGTTGAGCAAACTTCAGAGGATGGCGGAAGACCGGAAGGCCTGGCGTGATCTGGTCCATGGAGTCGCGAAGAGTCGGACTCGACTGTGCGACTGAACAACAACAACTTTGTCCAATGAAGGCTTCTTTGTTATTAGATAAATCACTGTCTGGGAAATCACACACTATCAAAGTCAAAGATTATAATCTTACCTAATAAACTCCCCACTTTCTCCCATCAGCCAGGAAGCACAAGGATCTGATACACATGATCCACCCAGAATCCTGGGTAATTGAGGAGACTAGGCAAAACGAATCCATGGAATAAATAGTGATTGATGCTTTTGGCACCTCTACTACGTTATAAATTTGCCCCCCCAAACAGAATGTTTATAAGAGTTTATTAGCAAAGAAACATGCAAAATTGTTACAACGGAAAGATAATGCATTAGCAGTTTGGAACTCCATCCTTCAAGTCATCAGAGACCAAACAACCATAAATAATTTTCCTGGATGCAGTTCAGCTAATGCGCTGGTAACAGCGACATAAGCATTGTTTGCCACTGTCATCACCACCTCACAGACCTTCAAAAGGCTCTATGTCCTTTGTCAGATGTATTGATTTATTTATTTTAAATATTTATATCCCACCTTACAGGCTGACAAGCCACGTCCACAGAAACTCAGATCTCATTCCACCAGAGCTGTGGCTAACTCTTCAGCCTTCAGCCACCTTGGCCCAGATTTCCAACTTTGTGAGGCACCATGCCCTAGATGTCCGGGCCAGAAGTAATGCATCTTTTGGGAGAGGAGTCGTCACCTCCTTGTTTTCCTGAAGCATCTGTACCCACATCTAGGTACATTCATTTGTGAGCCTATACACATCACTGTGATGCACAGAGACCATAAAGAGGCAATTTTGTTTTGCACATCTGTAAGTATTGTTCTTTAGATTTCTGTGCGAGTGAACTGCCTACTCTCCTTGTAGCAGGTGCCTTTAACTTACTGCGATGTATTTTTCAGCTGAAAGAAACTGAGCAGGAAAGCACAACTCTTCCCCTCTGGGCATGCAGAGTCCTAACTGTATCACCAGGTAGGAGGAAGTTTTCAGACCTAAAATCTAGCTGTACAGTTTCTCAGCTGTGGCTCTGCACAGGCACAAAGCCCATCCGTATGTGTGTAGATGACCAGTCAAAGAACAACAGTTGCAGGTAAGCTATTTGCTTCCCTTGTCTTTTTTGTGCCTTGAGCAAAAGTGGTCGGAGATGCTAATGTCTTCTTTTAGACAAAGAGGGTATTGAAATAAGCACTGCATGTTTTCAACATCAGTTGCCATACAAATGCATATTTGTTTACATATTCCATGAAATATTAATTTTCAGTTGAACTTGACTGTGAAATCTTTTTTATCATGTGAAGTGCTTAACTAACTTCCATACAATGCTTGCATTCTACATGTTCTGTACAAAGTTGTACTAGTAATACAATATAATTTTGATGAAATATGCAGCCGCTATTCTAGTCTACCAACCATTTTGGTATTGTGACGTGTTACTGGATAACTCAGTTTAGCATCGTGACAAGTTACTACTACAGTGTTTCTCAAATCTGGATCCAGAGATCCCTATGCTTGTATGAGAACTTTGTAAGTTTTTTAGAAATGGGAGCCAGTGAATTTCTACCTCAGAGGAAGAGGATGGAATCAGCCTCCCCTTCTTTTGAGGACAGGCATTCATAGAGCTCCCACCACTCACAATCGCCTAGTTTTCAGAGCACTAGCAAAAAAAACATGCTGATTTGACTGGTGGGAAGTCCTAGGAATAGGCTGAGTGGTACCAAAGAGGTATTGTCCTAACACAGTCATCACAGTTACTTGTGGTAGAAAACGGAACTGGTTTTGACTCTAGTCACTTCGCGCAGCATTCATAGACTATGACAGCAAATGGTAGTTTTCAGCTGAATACTAGTATTTCAAATTTTATGTGATGCTGGTCTTTCTCAGTTTCTATAAGGAACTTTTTTTGCTACCTCTCTTCCAATCAAGGGGTGAAATTAACTTGGGTTGGGATCTTTTTGGTTGTGGCCCTACAGAAACAGATAATCAAAACATTTTTTTCCTAAACTTGCTGTTATCAAAGTGTAGCTAATCAGAGGTCATTTCGGGGGGGATCGCAGTTCCCCCGGGTGAGGTGCGAGGGGGGCGGGGCACATGACGAAGCTCCACCCCCTGCTTCCGGCTGCCCCGCTTCCAGCCCTCATTCAGCCAGGAGGAGGCAGGAGAAGAGGGAGGGTAAGTCGCTTCCTCCCCGCCTCTCCCCACCCCTGCCTGTCTGGGGCCAGGGAGGGCCTTGGCGGGGCTTCCTCACACTCCCGCTGGCCTTGCAGGTCCACCGCTGGGCCCCTGATGTCAGGGGGTGTGGCATATGCTAATGAGTTATGCTGATGAGTTCCCCTAGCTCTTTTTCTACGAAATGACCCCTGTAGTTAATAAAGGTTTCACTGTACTCTTTGGAGGACATGAGAGGAGGGAAGCCTGCATGGGGTATATTCAGCTGACCACATGTGCTTTGAAAAGTGGCTGTGTGGTGTGTAGTATGTGCTAATGGGGGGAAGGGAAAGATTCACGGGCTGTAAAAACTGTTAACCAAAACAGGGGTCCTTAGGCTGCTTATGTCTGAGACTTGCTACTATAGCATACACATGGCAGGACATTTTATCAATACGTTTTAAAATAGAATCGTCTCCATTTTACCTGGCAAGTGTCAACACCACCACCTTCTAAGCCAGCACAAAGCATATCCTCAAATACTGCCCCTGCGTACCAGTCCAGGCTATTACATTTGTCTTGTGAAATAATGTTTACTTGAGCTTCTTGTAATACAGCTCTTGGGGGACCTGTAATGAAAACACAAAACCCTGTTAAAACTATGCTTGTTTTTTTAATATTCTGCAACATGTAAAAATCCTGGGCGCTCTTGAGCCAGTACACATTCCATCCCTTGCTGGAGAAATTGAATAAGCTGCCATATAAGACCTAAGAGCCATTTCAAAGTTTAGAGCTTTAGCAAATTCTATTTGTAACCTGGCCCAAGTCCAGCTGCACAATGAATGGTGCCACACAACTGAGAGCACTATGACTGGCAGGAGCTCTCCGTTGAGCATTGTTAGTGACCCCTTGCAAAATATATAAAATGGCTCTCACAAGTATACCATAGATGGGGAGGGAAGTGCCCCTGAAGCAAGTAGCATGTGGTTGTATCCTGAGTCTTCTTGAACGAAGGGCACTTTTCACATACTGAGTGTTTTCTGAATTATAACCTGAACCTGTCTTCCTGTAAGGTAGCACAATTGAACAGGATGCCTTCCAAGGCCCTGCTATTGAGGAGCTTTCCCTATAGCCTCTTCCCTGGTACTTGTGGGAGAGTTTCTGTAGCATTCCCATCCCACCCTAGAGATGCCAGCCTCCAGGTAATAATATACAGACAGAGGTCTACAGAAAACCCACTGATGCCAACTCTTACTTAGCAATGGATAGCTTCCACCCAGGACACATTAAGAGGAATTTACCTTACTCCCAGCTATTAAGACTGAGACATAATTGCAGTGAGGACATTGACTTTAAGAAGCAAGCAGGCATTTTAATGGAGCAACTTGATAACAGGGGTTATTCATCCAGAAATTTGGAAAGAGCTTTCCAGAGAGCCTATAATACATCTATAATACATCTAGAACTTACGCCTAGGGCTCATAATCAGAGGGTAGACAGGATGATTATACCTTTAACCTGTAACAGCACATTTAAACTGGTACAACTATTATTAATAAATATTGGCACCTTCTGTCTAACATCCCTAGATGCCAAAATCCTCCCTTGTTCACAGCCAGGAGAGCTAAAAATCTCAGAGGCGTACTGTTTAGAAGCAGGCTTCCTGAACTGAAGGATACCAGCTGCATGAGGGGGAGTTATCTACCTAGAGGTTTTTTCCCATGTGGGAGCTGTTCTGTATGTGTTTGTGCTGAGGCCTAAAAAGTCCTTTTATAATACTGCCAGGACTAGGATTTTTTTTGTAAATTCATTCTGTACCTGTAACAGCAAAGGAGTACTTTACTGTATCGAATGTCGTTGTACAAAAATGTATGTGGGTTTAACATCAAGACCAGTGAAATAAAGAATTGGTGAACATAAGTGCTGCATCAGATTAAAGAAAAGGAATGCTCCACTTGTCAATCACTATCTGGATTTAGGACATACTGAAAAACAGCTGAAATTCTGGATTATAGAAACTAATTCAAACATGCTCAAACTTCTCCAAAGAAGAGAGTTATTTTGGATACATCATCTACAGACATTTACTCCTCATGGACTGAATGAAAAAGTGGATTGGACTTGCTGCCTTTGAAAAAATGTATACCTGTCATTCTGTATTTATTAGTGCTGACCTTGTGATCCCCCCCACTGAGTTCTCTCTCTCCTCTTCACCCCCTCCCACCTTGTAATCCCTTCCTTGGCAATAGCATTGTGCAATGCATGTGGGTGATTGCATCATCCCTGGGTTCTACTATATAATGATGTAATGTTAGCAGCTTTTAACTTGACTACTACCTTTGATAGAAGTGACACACATCCTGATGAATGGGATATTCACTACCAGGTTTGCTGGCTAATTTAAATATTTTCTAGGCTAAAATTATTCTAAAATCTGACTACTTATAAACTTTATTAATTGTATTTCTATTTTCATGTAGAATAATTTGGAGAATTTGCACAGCTACTACCTATGGCCCACTATACAAACTTGTAGCAAATGCAAAGCATATAAGGTAACCCCAGTAAAAAGTATATTTTTAAAATAATAATTACTATATATATTTACTATATACATTCGATATATAATAATCTGGCCTTTTTCAATTATTTCAGAAAGCAACATCTGTTCATGCACACACACACACACACACACAATCACAATTCTTTACGCATGTAATCTGGCCTTTTTCAATTATTTCAGAAAGCAACATCTGTTCATACACACACACACACACACACACACAATTCTTTACGCATGTATTTCTGTATGTGTGTCATTGCAAAAAAAAGATGTACTGAGAGAACGCATATGTGCATATGAACTGTAGAAGTTCAGTCCCATGATTCTCATGCCATTCTGCAAAACCATTAACAACAGTTGCATTTTTGGATGTCAGAATCATTTGAACCTATCTACATAAGACTCAAGTTTATATATACATTATATCAAATTTGTATAAGCATAATTATCAAGTATTATATTAAAGTGACCCTCCAGGAAAGTAAATCAATTTTTCAAATTATCAACATGGCCCCATCTGTGGATACTTAAATCTAGAGACTGGAGCCATTAACATAGAAACCTGGAAAAAGCCCCAAATTCTTAAATTGTACCTGGAAACAAATAAGTATTTAAGGGAAAGACTGTAAAATGGAAATAATATGCTCCCTTTGCCTGCCCCCTGATAACAGATAGATGATTGTTTTCTGAACCAATTACAGTTTGAGAATTTGAAAAACTGATTTACTTTCTCTCAGTACATCCATCAGAGCAGGTAAATAAAGTGAGAGTGGTAATGTTAGCACATTTATTTCCCTGTCAGAAGCCTAATGTGTGGGACCAAGTTCTGTACCCACCTCCACCCTTGAATAATTTTTTCCTGATTCCACCACTGCAATACACTCATAATAAAGATGCTTTCTGAAATTGCTGGATTTAATCGTATTTTTAAGAAAAGATTGTCTTAAAGAATAAAAAGTAAATATTTACCTTTCTCCTTTGAATTTCCCCATCCACTTATGTAACAGGGAGTCTCCGCAGTCACAACAAGAGGGACATCAGGTAAGCAGATGGGCTGAATAAATGTATTGAATCTGATAGAGGTGACTAGTTTAAATAAGGCAATGTCTCTTTGAAAGGTCATCTTGTTGAACTCAGCATGGAGAATGATAGCCCTAACCCGGCTCTTTATTGTATGAGAATGATGTCTGTAAAGATGATGCATACCTATCACAGCCCTCCAAAATTCTGGATCTCTAGGAAGAAATTAGAATAAAATGTTTGTATAGTCAATAGCTACTTGACAAACTATGCAAAAGCAATAGATAGTGGGCCAGAGAAATGATGAGACTGAGGATGGTAAAGTTTGCTCCAGATTGTATAAACAGTATAAATCAGTAATTTAGCAAAGCAAGCGAAAAAAACAGGGTGTGCTGATTCCAATTCAGCCCAAGAATTCTTCCCAAACAAACTTGGAACCTTAGCAAGCCACATTCTTCACCATTATGAGTAGTATTCCTATCTATGCCCTTCATCAGGGTTTTCTGATGGCAATTAACTAATATAGAAATTCTGTTTAGAATCAGGGACAATAATTATTTTCTGAAAGATTGGAGACAATGTCTAATGTTACTACCCACTGACTTGGCACGGTGTATGCTAAGACCAGGATCAAATAACTGCGTTCTTATGGGGACATTATGCTTGTGTTTCTTGAACAGCAGTCCCCTAAGGGTAAGTGACAAACTGCTTTTTTAAAATGAAGGGTTTCATAGGTAATTGGCAATTCCACACTGGAGAATGCTATTGAAAGAAAATCCTAAACATTCTCTGTGGCATGGCCTCCAAACCCTTGAGTGTGTCCAAACTAGCTCTTTGAATCTGCATGAAAACTTGTCTTAAACACAGAATTACAAAAATGTTCATAGGGGAACTTTGAAGACATACTTTTGAAGTAGATCAGTATTTTAAAGGAGATTAAATAATTTTCCATGCCGTGTGTAAAAATCAGGGGTATAGCAGCATTCTAAAGACTAACATAAATTTATTCCAGGATAAACTTTTGTGGACTATAGTCCACTTCTTCAGATTAAATAAGCAAATCCTCACTAGGCAGACTTTTTATAGAGGAAGTGTGAAAAAAAATAAACAGTAGGGACAAGCAGTCATGAAATGTAGGAATTATGGAGTGAAACACAACTACACAAAATTCAAATTTTATATGAAATTCAAATCCAATCAAGGAAAGGAGTGTTACAAAACTTGAAGCAAGGGTGAAAATCCAGAGGATCTTATTGCTGCTAAATCGCGGTGGTTTTCTGCATCTTGTCCAAATTCTGGGCTGGGGGGGAAACATCTGTGTGGCTAGAATCTTCCCCAAATTCTGAATCCTGATGTATGTGAGAGGGAATAGCAGGTGTGATGGGATATGGAGGGAAAATGGCACTGATGCAGGCAAGTAGGTTTGGAAATGCATACCCTTCTGTCCTCCAGTCCATGCCATGAAGAGCTTCAGCAGCCAATTTCCACACATTATCCATCTATTAAATGATCAGGACATTTTTCTCCTGGCCTGTTGGCAGCTCTGTCAGTCGCTTCTTATCTTACCTTCTTGGTCCTGTCCACTACCTAACCTCCCTATTCCTTAGGCAGCATCTGCCACCATTCCTGTTTTTTGACCCAGAACTTGCTCCTGTTTTCCTTTGCTGCTACTTCCTTCACATCTCATTTCCTAGGCTATCTGAATCCTCCTTCACTCATTTCCTACAGATCTTCGTCGTGGTCTCTGTGCAGTCCCACACATGGGTTGGGCGCCTGCGCACGACCTCGACCAGAGAAACTTCTAGAGCTTTGCCTCAGAAAGCCTTTGGTGGGCTCTCTTCCCGCCCTGGGGAGAAGGCACGCAATGCGCATGCCTGGAGCGGGGGAGAGAGCCGCCTCCCACTCAGTTCTTCTTCGACCACCTGCGTGTTCACACCTCGTTTCTATTGCTCTCCGTATTTGCCTCAGCGAAGTATATTTTTTTGTCTTCCTTCTTTGGTCTTTGTTTCTTTTCACTCTTCTTTCCTCACTATTTATATATATAAAAAAGAATAAACCTTTCTTTCTTCACTTTCGTTCTTCCTATTTGGTGGGTGAGGTGGAGAGTGTATGGGCAAAACTAAGTTTTTAAAAGTGTGTCGTCGTTGCCCAGCTAAAATTCCTTTGAACGACAGTCACGATTTTTGCCTTCTTTGTCTGGGGGAATCCCAAAGAGTCGATAGCTGCATCCATTGCGCTAGTTTTACTAAGCAAGCTAGACGTAATAGAGAGGTTTGGCTTAGGGCTGTGCTTTTAGAGGCAGCTCTGAGCCCTACCATGGCTTCGGCCATTTCTCAAAGATCAGATGGGGCTTCGAAGGCACCAAAGCTAAAACCTAAACGGCCTGAGGATAAGGCTCTGTCGAAATCGAAAGTCAAACCCTCGACATCGGGTTTGACTTTGGCTGTCGATCCAGTCGTCATTACCCGCTTAGCGACATCAACTCCTGCTGTGGCTGTTGTACCTAACAGGTCCACTTTGCGGCCTCCGACACCACTGCCTACGCTCTCTTCAGCGTCTGGCCTTATTCCGCTGGGTCAGTCTACGAGATCGCCTCCCGACTTGTTGTATCACCGGGACTCTCAATCTCCGTCTCCACACTCCCATACCCCGATCCACGATTTGGAGGGCAGGGAGCATTCTGTCAGCTGCCGTTCTCGATATGATCGAAAGCGTCTCATTCATTGTTTGTCGTCTTTCCCCTTGGGATGGCCTTCCGATGACCAATACTGGTCTCCTGATGAACGAGATCGGCCTGATTATTATCCTTATTACTATCCAATGTCTCCTACTCCTCAGCGGCACCACTATGATTGGCTTTGTCACTTTGAACGTACTGAGCATCGACGTGTTTCGGATCACACCAGACGTTCTAGGTCCGTGACTTCGACCCACTCCGGGGCTCCTCACCACCCTCCTGAGCTCTCAAGACCTAGGAATGCCCCAAAGAGTTCTCCCTTAGAACTTGGGCTTCATCCCCCTGTTGATGACCCTATGCCGACTGATCTCACTCAACCGCTGAGATCATCCTCTCCCATGTCAATCTTCGACAACTCGGATTTGGGAGACCTAGAACTCGATGTTCCGCACATTGACGATGAGCCTCGGGGCTCAGGTTCTATTTCCCCCACCGAGGGCCCGAAAGCGTATTTGGAACTCATAACCAGGATGGCCTCTGCGCTTCAGGTCCAGGGTTCCACTGAATCCCCGGCTGTGACTGATGTTGTTCACAAGCTTGTTCAGGCCAACCTCCTGCCTTCTACGGCCCTGCCTCTACTGCTGGTCCACCTTTCTATCCTTAAAGAATCCTGGGTCCATCCCGCTTCAATTCCCCTGGTCTACAGACGATACGAAGCTCTTTATAAGGTCCAAGAGAACTCAAGGAAGTTTCTCTTTAGGCAGCCTCTACCAAATTCCATGGTGGTACACTCTTCCTCGAAATCGAAGCAATCTGCCCACCACTCTGTGCCTCCCAACCATGAGGGTTGCAAGGTCGATGTTATCGCAAAGAAGATGTATTCCTTTGCCTCTATGAATCTTCGTATTGAGACCTACCTGTCATATCTGTCAGCTTATGCTTTTAATGTGGCTAATGCAGTACGTCCCGTCTTGGAGTTTGTTCCGGAGGAACACCGTCCCATGTTTTCAGGGGCTCTATTGGAAATTTGTATGATCCTGAAACAGCAAATTAATTCAGTCCGCCATGCCGTCACTTGCTCCTCAAAGGTCCTTGTCTCCTCCATCACCGTCCATCACCACGCTTGGCTAAGAGGTACCACTTTACAGCCCGATGTGAGATTTCAGATTGAGGACCTCCCATTCGATGGCGAAGGTCTCTTCCACTCTACCACTGACAAGGCCTTGAAGGCTGTGGATGATAGTCGGAAACAGGCTCAGAACCTGGGTGTCTCAACCTCAACATCTCGACATCGGTACCATTCCTGGAAACCATATTATGCCAGGCGCCAGCCATCTCCCACCTCCACCTCCCAACCGAGAAAGAGGCCCTATGACTCCCGTTACCTGAATAGGGCGCGCCAACAGGCCCCTAAAAAACCCAACAGGCCCCTAAAAAAAGTCCGTTTGACCGCTTCGATCGCCTGCCATCTCCTCCTTCGTACACCCCTCCCATCCGGACCCGACTCTTCCCTTTTCAGCCAACATGGGAAGAAATTTCCACTGATTCCTGGGTCCTCACCATCCTACAGGTCGGGTACGGCATAGAGTTCATTTCGCCTCCCAACCTACCTCATTTTGTCATCACCCCCCCAGATCCTCTCCTCCATTTCGAAATGTCCGCACTTCTGGCCAAGGGCGCCATTGAAGTCGTTCCGGAGGTGCAACGAACCCTAGGCTTCTACTGCAAGTATTTCCTTGTACCGAAGAGGGATGGCAGCTTCAGGGCCATTATGGATCTTCAGGATCTGAATTGATACATTCGATGCCACAAGTTCTGAATGGTCACCCTACAATCTATTCTTCCACTGATTCCCAAGGCTGCATGGCTCGCCTCTGTCAATCTCCTGGACACATATTTTCATGTTACTATCTGTCCCCAGCATCGAAAGTTCCTGCGTTTTGCTGTCGGCAATGCACACTACCAATACCGAGTTCTTACGTTCGGAATGTGCACTGCCCCGAGGGTTTTTACCAAGCTGATGGCTGTGGTGGCTGCAGACCTCCATTGTCATGGGATTGCCCTGTATCCCTATATCAACAACTGGCTTCTCATCGCCGCCACCCAAGACCAGCTCCTCCTAGATGTCCAAACAACCCTGTCTCTCCTTCGTGCCCTTGGGCTTTGTGTAAACCTACCCAAGTCGTCTCTCTGACCTGTGCAGGTCCTTCAATTTCTGGGTGCCCGTCTCGATACCAACCTCAAGACCGCGTTTCTCCCGAACTCAAGGGCCTCCGACATACTCGGTCTCGCAGTTGCAGACCTCTCCCCGGCAGTCTGCTCGGTCCGTCATGAGGCTCCTGGGGCACTTTGTGTCTACTGTCTTTGTTGTCCGTCATGCCAGGTTGAGGATGCATCCCCTCCAACTGTGGCTTCTCCATGCCTTCGACCCTCTCAGCAGTCCATGGAACAAAATCCTGTCGATCCCACCCTTTGTCATCGACTCCCTCGCCTGGTGGTCTCATTCTCAGCACCTGCTCTCCAGCATGACCTTTCGGCATCCTCCTCCGCAAGTGTTGATCTCCACCGACGCATCCCTCTGGGGTTGGGGAGCCCAGTGTGGAATCCTTTCGGTGCAGGGGATCTGGTCTCATCATAAGGCCACCCTTCCTATCAATGTCCTGGAGCTGTGTATGGTTCATCTTGCTCTCCGCTCTTTCCTCCCGGTGCTTCAAGGCTGAGTCATTCAGATTGCCTCCGACAACACCACCACCGTTTACCACATAAACAAGTAGGGCGGGACTGCCTCCCTTCGTCTTTGCCAGTCAGCCATCGATCTCTGGAGCTGGTGCATCCACCATTCCATCACGCTTTCCATGATACACATTCCGGGCGTTCAAAACATCGATGCCGATCAATTGAGCCGCTCCCGCTCATCAGCCAACGGATGGTCCATCCACCTTCGATACCTGAAACCTGTCTTTGCAACTGCAGACAATGCTCGGTGTCGTCTCTTTTTCAGCCGCGGGCCGCCATCTGCTCAGTCGCGGGGAGATGCCTTTCTCCACACCTGGAAGGGAACCCTATTCTACTTCTTCCCTCCATTCCCAGGTCGTTCAGAAGATTGTGGCCGATTTCACGTCATGCATCCTTGTCACTCCATGGTGGCCACGCCAAGTCTGGTTTCCGCACCTCCTTCATCTCTCCAACAGGACATTCCGGCCGCTGCCTGTCATCCCCGATCTCCTCTCTTGGGCTCAAGGAAGGATCCTCAACCCAGGTTTCTTCCAATTAACTGCCTGGAAGATCCAGTACTAGACTTCCCGCCTGAAGTGTCTGAAGTCCTCCTGAATGCCAGGAAACCCTCTACCCGTACCACTTACTGTTTCAAGTGGAAGAGGTTCCAGTCATATGCCTCTGATCACTCCTTCGATCCCGTCCAGTCGTCTCTCTGTGAGATTTTTTCCTACGTCGTCTCCTTAAAAAATAAAGGCCTTGCATATTCATCTTTAAAGGTCCATTTAGCGGCCATCTCCACCTACCATCCCTTGATACAGGGATCTACAGTCTTTTCCCACCGTCTTACAAAGTCACTCCTTAAAGGTCTCCTCTGGCTCTGTCCCCTTAGGAAGCCCTTGGTGCCTTCGTGGAGTCTGTCACTTGTTCTCACTCAACTTATGTCCAAGCCATTCGAGCCCATGGCTACGGTCGATCTCAGGTTGCTCTCCTGGAAGACGGCCTTCCTTATAGCGATTACGACGGCACGCAGAGTAGGGGAACTAGCTGCCTTTCAGTCTGATCCCCCCTATACAATTTTTCATAAGGAGAAGGTTGTCCTTAGACCAGATCCTTCTTTCCTGCCTAAAGTCATTTCTGCTTTTCACCTGTCCCAGTCGACTGTCTTACCTTCTTTCTTTCTGAATCCGACTGATGCACCTCAGAGAGCCCTCCACTGCCTCAATGTGCGCACAGCGCTCTCTTTTTATTTACATAGGACTCAGCCTATATGTAAATCTCCTCGACTGTTCCTTGCCTATGGCTCCCCTCATGCCGGGGAGCCGATTTCCTCTCAACGCTTGTCTAAATGGGTGACTTCCACCATAGTCCTTTGCTATGAGCTTGCATGTCAACCCGTCCCTACCTGTGTCACAGCCCATTCTACACGGGCGGTATTGACATCCACCGCTTTCCTGGCTGGTGTTCCGTTGGAGGACGTCTGTGCAGCTGCTACGTGGTCCTTGGCATCGACCTTCGTGACCCACTACGCACTCGACATCTGAGCTCAATGAGATGCTGCATTCGGCCAGTCGGTGCTGCGATCTCTCTTCACTTGACCCTGCTTGCATCCCCAGGTAGGACCCGTGGGTGTTTTTTCTCACTGATGATGCTGTGTCTTAACCAGTATTCTTTGTGTCTTTTGCAGCTGCCAGCTCCCTCCTCCAACTGGTTCAGCTCTGGTAATCACCCATGTGTGGGACTGCACAGAGACCACGACGAAGATAAACAGGTTGCTTACCTGTAACTGATGATCTTCGAGTGGTCATCTGTGCAGTACCACAATCCCACCCAGCCTTCCCCACTGCTGGCATCTCCTGTTCACCTTTCTTTGGCTTCATGGGACTTACTGGTAGCGGTCGAAGGAACTGAGTGGGAGGCGGCTCTCTCCCCCGCTCCAGGCATGCGCAGTACGTGCCTGCTCCCCAGGGCAGGAAGAGAGCCTGCCGAAAGCTTTCTGAGGCAAAGTTCTAGACGTTTCTCCGGTCGAGGTTGTGCGCAGGCGCCCAACCCATGTGTGGTACTGGCAAACTGGAAAAATGGAAGCCTCATGGAGGTTCGAGTTTCAGGTTTTCGTAAACCCGGAACCATGAACCTCCATGAATTTCTCCATTGCATGAACCTGTTTGTGCTTTGGGAGGTTTCTGGGGCCATGGCCCCACCCGGAAGTGAGTCCAGAAGGCATTTAAATGTCTGCCCGAGTGAGCTTCCAGGTGGGGTCTGCCCATATAAGGGCATACAAGGCCTATAAAAGGCTTCAGAGCTAAATCTGGGAGCTCAGTCAAGTCAGGTGGCCCAACTCGAGTGAGCTCAGTTGGCCGGGCTGGCCTGGAAATGGGCTCCGAAGGCATTTAAATGCCTCCAGAGCTCACTTCTGGTTGGGCGGCCCGACCTGGAAGTAAGCTCTGAAGACATTTAAATGCCTTCGGAGCTCATTTGAATAGGGCCGCAGGCCAATGGAGGGCTCCAACAGCATTTAAATGCCTTCAGGGCTCACTTCCGGGTGGCCCACCAGACCCAGAAGTAAGCTCTGAAGCCATTTAAATGTCTTCAGGGCCCGAGAATGTGTCTCCCATGAACCTCATAAACATCCATGAAAAACATGGAGGCAGATTGTGGGAGACACGGTCTCCCAAACCCCTGGTTCACGTACCATGAACCGGCCTGGTTCGTGTGTGAACTGGGGTTTGTTTGGGGGTTCATGCCCATCCCTAATGTGAACTGAAGGATGAAATTACTTGGTTGAGTTCTGAAGTCACAAAGTTCTCTGTGGTTTGTTTCCCCAGTGAATGATGGAGCAAGTTGTTACTTTGAAGGTTGGTTGGCTTTCAAGTGGTACCTCTCAGGCCTGGTCTGACGTGGCCTGGCAAAATGGTTGGGAAGGAGAAGATAGATTTACTTACAGAATGCAGGCTGGCCAGGCTTTGGCAGGCAACATAATGCCATCGATCTTTGTTCCCCAGTGCTGCTTGATAGGATAGGAGGGGGATCGGAAGGGTGAAGTGGCATCCTATAACACTGCATCCTATAACAGCTGTGTATCCAGAAGAGATGTTCTCACATTGCAGGACACTCTAGGCTTCATCCAAAACGCAATGGTTTTTACCAGAGAATTATAAGTGAACCCTGGAGTGTCCTGCAATGTGGTAATGGCACTTCTGATTATGCAGTCAGAATTGACTCTGCAGCATTACAGAACACCATTTGGGTAAGTCCAGCCTCCATTGGGTAATTCCACCCCCTGAAAGAATGACATATACAGAATATTTTACATATATACAATTTCCATGTTCAACAAATGTGTTTTATCAACACACTTGCTTTGTGTCTACAATTGACAAGAAAAAAAAATAAAACTGAAGAATACATACATCCATTTTCGAATGCAGTGTGCTGCTGTCAGCACTGTGTTATGATTTATTAAAGATCCACCACATACATGATGATATCCTAAACCGAATCGGTAAACTTGAAGACTAATTTGCCACGGCCAGGCTCCAATCTGAGCATCATGTCCACCTACAATCCGAATCCCTGTTGTTATCTCATCCACAACCGGCCTTGTTCCACATTCTAAAAATCAAAACACAGTTATATCTGTGAGATGTGGTGTTTGGAAGGTCTTTCTCCATTTTTCTGCAAGCCTTTCTAAGCTGACCAAAGGGGAGATGCCCCAAACAATGCCAAGGTAGTGAATGATTTCTGAATGCTTGCAACTCTAAGAACAGATAGTCTATCCTAACTTAGCATCAGTTAGGGTATGTACATTTAGAGTACTGTGTGTTATCACATTTCTTTTTATTCTTGCTCAGTCTGAGGAATTTACAGACCATGTGTGTGATTTACAGTTTGTTAATAAATTTATATTTTGAATGCTGGTAGTCTGATCCATTAAACCCAATTCAGGCATGTTTATCAAGGAGTAGTAAGGGGAAAGGTGGTAGTTGATCCCTCCATCCCCAGAGTGCACAACTATATGTGTTAGTCCCTGCAGTAGCTGGCAAGAGTGAGGAGGGACACATAGAAACAAGGCTTGCAGTGGCAGAGGGGACCCTGCATTTAAACCACTTGGGAAGGGTCCTTTTCATTCCCAGTCTGTGGTGGCAGCAGTACCAAAGGGAGTGAACGGAGAAGTGATGGAGCCTGGCTGGTCCAAAGATCCCGAATGGCGGAACAGATGTCTCACTCCTATGTGGGCTGAAATGGGACTTGCAAGTCAATTACCCCATAATACAGTACATATATCAGAGTACAAAATATACATCTGGCCCCGCAGGTATTGAAAGTACATATGTACAGGATGCAGCAAGCAAGAAAGAATTAGGCCTATGTCGACAGTATTTTAAAAGAAAAACATAGTGATTTCTATACATGCATCTGACATTTCTATACATGCGTCTGGGACCAAGTTGTTTTTTTTAAAGGGTATTGCAAAAAGCAGTTCGAATGGGTATCATGCATTAGTTTTCCTGTGTGGTGAAAACTTGCACAGGGAAGAGGAAGACATGTACACAAATATAATGTTTGACAATAACACCAAATTATTACCTTTAAACCAAACAGCTTGCAATTGGTGAATGGCCATTTCACCTTAGGCATCTGTGTTAAGGAAGGAAGGTAGCAGGTACAGCCTATCACATCTCAGAAATTACGCAGGGTCAGTACTTGGATGGGAGACCACCAAGGAGGACTCTGCAAAGAAATGCACTGGCAAACCATGACGCCTAAGTGTAACCACTCGTTGTGCATCACACAAACCACCTCTACTTTTCATGCCTTGAAAGTCCCTTGCTAGGGTCACCATAAATTGATTGTGACTTGGGGGCACATAACATACAAATCTGTGTTTTAAAAATCCTCTTGGTTTACACTCTGTGAATGCTCAGTGGTTAGCCTCAAACTTCCCTTCCAGAGAGTCTGATCTTCTAAATTCCAAGCTGAAGATGCTGGATGACCAGCCATTATTATAGCAAAGATTGCAGCCCAGGAGAACAAAGGTGCCAGGGCAGATATGGCCACAAGGAATTTTCTAGTTCCCCCCCTTCTCTACCTGTTACATTTCCAGTGATTTGGGGAGTTTTGGGAAGACGAAGCTCTATCCTATAAGAAGGGGGCCAGACACAGTTGGAGTGCAACAGTGATGGAAACACTTTGGATCAGACACACATAACTGACATCTTGGGGACTCTGAAGCAGACATACACAGGAACATGGTCTGAAGAGAGGTGACCACTAAGATAGAGAAAGAAGGTAAAGATGACTTGAACAACATTTTTGGCACCACTAAGATATTTATGCCTGTCTCTCTAACATTGTAGGTTTTAGACCTAGGGAAAGAGGATTGCTTTTATGCATATTTGATTTTCCTACACACAGATCCTGTAGTATTTTGCTGTTCAATGGGATGCTTAATGGGATTAAAGATTTTCTTTCCTGTTTCTGAAGCTGGAATTATTTGATCTTTTATTATCAAACATCAAAGGAGATGCAAGAAGAGGCTGCCTAGCTTTGATAATATCTCACTTGTGTGATTTCTAAGATTTTCCTGTTTCCAGATTGGACATGGAATAAGATAAACTTTGGATATGAAACATTGAGTTCAACCAGAGAAGGTTGGTCTGCTGTTTATCTAATGGCCTTCTGATGGCAGCAGAGAGTAAGTACTATTTTTGAAAGAGAATGGGTGGGATAAAAGGGAAGAGGTGAATCCCTCCTTGCTGTCTAGCGGCTTGAGACCTAGGCTAGCTGAGTAATAAATCCATCACGACCCAAAGTTAAAAAAGGGACCTGCCGCGTCTTTTACCACAAGGGCCAGGGTGCGCAATGCACACATACCATTTCCCCCCTGATGCTCCACTGAGCCAGTTTGGTGTACAAAGCCAGTTTGGTGTAGTGGTTAGGTGCACGGACTCTAATCTGGGAGAACCGGGTTTGATTCCCCACTCCTCCACTTGCACCTGGATGGACAGCCTTGGGAAAGCCGTAGCTCTTTGCCAAATATAAATCCAATCTCTTCTCTTCTTCTTCACTGAGCACTGGTGGGAGGACAGGGAGTGCCAGTGGGGGTTTCCCTGCCAGCATCGGGAATCTGGCACCCCTACTTGTGTGTCAATAAGATGATGAAGAAGAAGAGATTGGATTTATACCCCGCCTTTCACTACCCGAAGGGTGTCTCAGAGCGGCTTACAAACTCCTTTCCTTCCCCCCCTCCCCACAACAGACACCCTGTGAGGCAGGTGGGGCTGAGAGAGCTCTTGACAGAAACTGCTCTTTTTCAAGAACAGCTCTTATCAGAACTACGGCTTGCCCAAGGTCATCCAGCCAGGTGCAAGTGGAGGAGTGGGGAATCAAACCCGGTTCTCCCAGATTAGAGTCCACACACTTAACCACTACACCAAACATTCAAAGTCCTGTTCCATCTCCTTATTTATTTATTTATAATTTCAATTTCTAGACTGTTCTCCCCCAAAGTATTGGGGCTCAGGGCAGTGTACAACATCTCATAAAATACATTCAGATCACATTTAAATACAATGGAGAATAAAACAATGAAATATTAAAACAGTTCAAAATTAATTCCAGATGGCACCTGGAATGCGCCAGATTAAATATTCATCCCAGTGGGAAAGAAAAGAAGGAACCAGATTGATAGGCCTCGCAGGGCACAGATGTTATTTGGCAAAGAGTTCCTCCAGGTCGGAACCAAGGCCAAAAAAGGCCTGACTCCAGTTAAGGACAACCAGGCGTTTTTTGTTTCCTTCTATTATCGGAGGTGAGATAAGCAGTATCAACAGAAGGGTCCTTTTAAGTTGCGGCTCTCTGATTATGAAATGCCCTCCCTTCATTGGTGCCCATCTGCACCAGTAGTCAGAGTTTATGTTTTCTTTTCTTTGGGTTAATTTTTAAAGTTTTGTTGATTTTCAGTTATATGAAAGCGAAGCACGATACTTTAATCAGCACGTGCAGGCTCAGTTCTGCCTACTATTTTAAAGGCAATGGTGAAGCCTGTGTTAGAGATAAGAGGTCAGGAGACGCAGTCCTTCATCTGGTAACTGTGGCAGATCAAGCTGACATTAAAGGGAGAGGAACCACTTTAAAAATTAGTTACTGTAGAGGTTTTATTTCCTTTCCCCCATAAAACAGAAGGAAAATATCATGTGTGAAGCAACCCTCAGCTTCCAAGTTTCCAGAGGCTGGGAGGTCTTTTAAACCAGAGGATATAGTTTCCAGCAGGCTTGAGCCTTAGCAGTCTTAAGGTTCAAAACAAAACTCCACCACGTGCCTCTGTGAGGGTCCTTTAGGGCAAGGGCAGATTGGAAATTATGTCCACTAGAAAAAATCCAGGTGAGCTGCCTCTCCTCAGTCCCTGTCTAGCCAGGAAAGGGAACAGGCCAACGAGTATGCCAGAAGTAGAGTTGCCAGCCTCCAGGTAGGGACTGGAAATCTCCCAGAATTACAACTGAAGAAGAGATTGGATTTATACTCCACCCTTCACTACCCAAAGGAGTCTCAGAGTGGCTTACAATCTCCTTTCCCTTCCCCTCCCCACAACAGACACCCTGTGAGGTAGGTGGGGCTGAGAGAGCTCTTTCGAGAACTGCTCATGAGAGAACAGCTCAGAAGGAACTTGTGACTGACCCAAAGTCACACCAGGCAGCTGCCTGTGGAGGAGTGGGGGATCAAACCCAGTTCTCCCAGATTAGAGTCTGCGCTCTTAACCACTACACCAAACTGATCTCCAGACTACATAAATCATGTATTCATTTATTTATTTAAAACATTTATTCCACTTCTTGAGAAAATGGCTGCTTTAGAGGGTGGGTTGCATGGTATTATACCCTACCAGGGTCCCTCCCCTCCCTAAAACCCACTATCCCAGCCTCCAGCCTCAAATCTCCAGGTACTTCCAAACTTAGAGTTGGCAGCCCTAGCCAGAAGTGTGGTGCCCTGCTTGTTGCCATCTACCTGAACCCATTGATGTCAAGCCGGGTAGGAGCTGATCAGGCTGGTGAGGATGCCACTGGGCAGAGGCAGGTGGTATAGGGCCTGGCCTTAGTACCTCCTGCCTGGGCCTGATGCTGCCAGCTCATCCCTGACTGTCTGGCCTCAATACCCCCTGTCTGCACCTTCCCACGACAGAAAATCACTGGACGGGACCTGTTGGGCAATGACAAGCTAAGGGAAGCTGGCATCCGTAGCCTTGCATGACCAGCCCAGCCCTCCATCAGGTGAGGAGGAGGGGCCCTTTTCCAGGGCTGTTTTGGCCGCACAGTCTGCCCCTACAGCCCAGAGTATTTGTTTGACATTTTGTCCCCTGGGGAAGAGAAAGTGTTGTGAGTCTCACCAGTTTTAGGGATGACAGCCGATAGCTGATAGGGAGGGACTTCACAAAGCAGCAGAAGCAGCACTACAAAGGAAGCAACTGCAAGGCAACAACTCCGCCCCATTTTCCTTAGAGGAAACAAGATGGCAGCCAGCAGGTTTCCCTGCCTCAGCCAGTGGAATGTTGAGGGAACCATGTGATGAAGGGAAAGGAGAGAAAGAGCACAACCAAACAGTGTGCTGGACTAGATGAACCAGCAATCTGATCCAGCTGGTATCTTCTGATATTCTTAACCCGGTGCATATTGTGTATGACCACTTTCCTCCACCCTTTATCTATTGGCATTGGTTACTATGACTCCGCCCTGTTCCCTTTGGAACTGGAGCAATGCAAAATGCAGATAAACAAGAAAGCTTGACAGTGAGGTAGCTGTGGTAATCTTCACAGCTTGTAGGTTCTTAAAGACTCACAAAATTTTATTTCAGCAAGGCTGGAATATAATTTTGATCATCCTTTTTTAGACAAATTATGGGCTTCCCAAACTGTGTCTCTTACCATGTATTGTGCTCTGAATTAGGACTTAATTTGATTGAAACCAAGACATGGGTGTTAACGGTCCGTTATTGGCTTAAATTATATTTTAACATTGAAGATGGTTCGCTTTTGTCTTTTCTGTTAAAGGAAATTCATAGTACCTCTTGGGACTATAATATTCGAACCAAAATAAGATCTTTGGGCCTCTCCTTGGAGGAGCTAGCTTTTTCCTCTGAAGTGTATATCTTCCAAACAATCAAACAGAGGCTGTTAGATATTGAACTTCAAAAACTGCAGCCCCTTCATCCCCCTGTCTGTTCTTCAGCTACATTAAATCTTAAGAATGTTGTGGGATGTATTCCCCAGTATTTGTATAACCTTGATAGCCCTAGCCATCGAAGAGCGTTCTCTTGCTCGAGTAAATGCCTTTCCATCAAAACTACTGTATGGTAGGTTTCAAAAAAGCATGAACGGAGATGTGACTGCGTTTCTAACTCTCTTGATTCAATTGATCACATATTGTTAGACTGTTTGTGGCATGTATCTGCTAGGGAAAAATGGTTAAACACTTGGTTGCATGGTAAACATCACCTTTCCAATGGAATAAAATGCCATTTTCTATTGAACGATATAACAGCAGAAATTACTGTGGCAGTGGCCAATTTTTTAGTTGACGTGATAAGAGTGAAAAACTTGGGAAACTCCATTTCATGATTTTATAATTAACT